TGGTGAGTCCGGTTTGCTTTGTGTCTGTGAAATAGTTCTGTGGCTGCAGCCTTTAGGTGGCACCTGGATTTATACACTGTATATTTATGTTTTAAGAGATCTGACGTCTTTTTATGTACATAGTCTGGGGGGTTGTATGGCTTAGTTTTAACGTCACCTTTTCATGTCATTGAAGAATGGTACAGAGTAATTATTTTCTTTTTTTTTTTCTCGTGTAATTTTTTTTTTTTTTTTTTAATTTAAAATTTTCTTGGGGTAGAACTGGAGGAAGAGACCCAAATTCCTGAGGATGGCTGTACAAAAGGTTTGGGCATTCTGACTTTATCACCAGGACAAAAGGGAAAGCAGAAAACCAGGGAGCAGCAGGGCTCTGCGGTAATGGTAACGCTGCTGGGTTTAGGCTGGGTTTAACCCTAAGAGGGGTTTTATTTTGTCCCCTGCCCTCCCCAGCTGTGCTCTGGAAGGTCGTGTGGGTGGGTGAGATGACCCCAGGGCTCTGCAGGGCTCTCAACCTCCTGTCACCATCCTGGCTGAGCACCGACGGTGCCCGTGGGATCTCAGAGAGGCACCACGAAGCCAACCCCACCTCCTCAGGGAGGTGACAGGAACTGGTGTCACTTCATTCCCATTTGGCATCCTCAGGGCTGTCTGAGTGTCCCCAGGGACACAGCATCACTCGTGTGCCACAGCAAAACAGAGATTAATTTTTGCCAACATAAAAGTCTGGATGAACTAAACCCTGCAGGGTCTCTGCCCCAGGGAGCAGAGGCCAACGGGGGAGGGGGGGTTCCTGTAAATATTTAGCAGAAGATAATGAAATTCCAGTGATGTACAAAAAAAGATAATAACTAATAATCCCCACAAACAGCCCTTCAGATTGGAGGATAGAGTTTTTGTCTATTTTTATGTATATTTTTATACTGCTTGGGGTAACCTCATTACCAAAAATCTCTCTTCTGTGTTCGGGGTCAAGTTCAGTAGCACAATTTTAAAGCATAATTACTCTTTTGGGCATTTTAAATGCTTATTTTTTTATAAGCCTCGAGGCAATAATAACAAATAAAACCTGTGTATAGAAATGATGTAAGAAACCAAGTTTAGTGGAAGTTTTAGAAGGTGTCAAATAAATTCTTGAAGGATGATACAGAAATCCTCTAATCTGGTACCAAGCAGTTTTGTGTGATTTTTTTCTCAGAAAACCAGCATTTTGCCTACTGAAAAATGGAAACAGAGATGTTTTTTAGCTGCTGAACTGTGCAGAGTTGCATTAGTGGCTGTTTTTACTCTTAGCCAGTCGTTCCCCTTCTGAAATCTGTAGTGTTTTCATTGGTTAGTGAGAGGAATTCTATACAACAGTAGTTTTGGGGCAGAATGGGAAAGATTGGGATCTGAGCAGCCCTGCTTTTGATTCAGGTTCTGATCACTGGAGCAGGTGACTGACAGGGTGAGAGGGAAAGGTGGGGAGCTGAGTTTGGAGCAGGGTCACCACAGTCCCCTCACCTGTGTGGGGTGAAGGATGGGCTGGAGAGGGGCAGGAAGGATCAGCCCTGAGCTCATGGGGCAGGGGGGTGGGTTTTTGGCTGGGTTTGGTCAGAGGGACACATCCCTGGATACCCATCTGGATATTCAGGAGAATCCCTTAAGGCCAGAAAGCTTTTGCTTTGACTCAGAAGGAAGCAGGGTCTGGAATGTTCCCAGTTCAAAGCAATACTTGAAGCGTTAGAAGACCCCCGTGTCCCCTGGGAGCAGATCTGCCCTCCAGGGCTGGCAGGAGGGGCTGTGGGATGACCTGCAGGGATTTGTGCTCCCACAGATCCTGCGGGGGTCTGTGCTCCTTGTTGTGCCCCCGGGGACAAGCATCGGGGTGTTTCCTGTACAGTCTGACTGTAGTGGCTGGGACCTCACGCCATGGGATGTTCTGTGAATGTGTTAAAATGAAGAAGGGAAGATTAAATCCTAATTATTGATATGAAGGGAAGATCAAATCTGTAGGGACAGACGGACAGACTGCTCAGACTGACTTGCCCAGTCTGTCTTCCCTCCAGGAAGAAGCGCTGCTTTGTGGATTTAGGATGGCTTTGTTTCACTTGGTTGTTCCCATTTGGATGCATTTTCTTTGCACTCCTGGTGTTCCAGCACGTTCCCAGGCAGGCAGGCAGCAGAGTCTCTGGCCTTTCCTCCCTAGCAATTCTCTCCTCACTGGTACTTTGGCCAGGATTTTATGAGGGTTTTAATATATATAGTTATATATAAACACAATCAGCATGTACACAAATATATATAAACACGATCAGCAAATTATCGAGCCTGGCAACTGGAATTTACCTCTTCCTGGAGTCCAAGGCTGCTTAGGGAGAAGCTCACATTCTGTCACCCAGGGTGTGCAGTTCCTATCTATGGGCACAGACCTCTGGCCCCGGGTGCAGTTTGACCCCAGATAAGCGGTGCCTGCTCTCCCTTATCAGACAATCCAAACCAGCTGGCAGAGACAAGGGGGTGAAAGGTCCAAGTGCACAGGAGGGGAGAGGTGTAAAACTGTGGCAACAACCACCGTGCAAGGGTGATACCAGATAACAACAAAATCACCTGGGCTGGGGGAGCCCTGAGCCCCCAGCCCAGCACAGCCCCCTCCCCTCCAGCAGGCGAGGGACAAACCTGCTCCTGGCACATCATTGGCTTGCTCTGGTAAAACAATGAAGGCAAAAAGAGGCAATTCCTGCTCACAAGGGAAATCTGGAGAGAGGGAAATTCTCTCCCTTGTGGCATCCTGAGCAGTCTGAAACCTTTCTGGCCTGAAGCAAAGAAAATGCATCTGGATGTGGGCGCTGGCTCCGCGGGCAGGGGAGTCATAAAGCCAAAGACTGTGTGGCTGCAGAAACGAGTGCTGTAGATTCACCTGATGTTGTTCTTTCGTGTTTACAATATTTATTTTTAGCAATTGACTGCAATGATATTATATATAGGCTTCCTTATTTTTGTACTTTTCATACCGTTCCCCCGAGTGTGGTGTTTGTACTGCCCGTGTCCCCCGGCCACCACTGCTGCTCCTGTCAGTGACAATAAAGAGAGAAAAACCACCACCCACTGCGGGAATTGTCTGTGCTTCGCTTCCTGGGCTCCCCTCACCCCCTCTGCAACCCCTGAGGAAGGGTCCCCGTCCCAAATCCCCAATCCTGGCCCCTGGGAAGAGGGAGGAAGCTGGGAAGGGGGGTGTTTCCTCACACTGACAGTCCTCCCACAGCCAGGAGGGCAAGGGAGGGCACAGGACACTCAGGGATAAGGGAAGGGGTCCTTCCTGTCTGGAAAAGGATTCCAAGAGGAGTTTCCTGCTCCACAGTCTCATGCCCTCATCACATTGGAGGGTGGTGGGTGTCCAGCACAGGACCCCTGCCCAGGGCGAGCAGGGCAGGGGGGCCCTGGGATCCAGGGGAATCCTGGGATCCAAGGGGGGTGATGGCAGAGCAGGATCAGGCCCTGAATGGGGGTGCAGAGCCCCCACAGCTCAGACTGCAACCCTGGTGCTGAAAACAACCTGAGGCTGATGTCCCTGTTCCCCTCTGCCATTAACCAGCAGCCCCTGCTGCTGTCCACTGAGTCCAGGATGGCTTCAAAGAGTTGGTACATCCAGTTAAAGCCAGAATTAAGGGTCTAAATACAATAAACTTGATGCTGTAGCAGCTGAACACCTTAAAATGCTTCTGCCCTGCTGCCAAAGCCATGTGACACAAGATCACACAGAGGTGCTGAATCCACAGGCTGAATCCCACACAGAAAGCTATTCCCAGCAGGAAAGGACAGACAAGGGCAGTATTCCACTTGAAATCATTTATTGACAAGTTGTCATGTTTTTCCATCTTGCCCAACACATTTTTATCCTTGTTATATAGTACAAATGGTTTTATATTTTTCTGACATTAAAAAAATAGGCTAAAGAGGCAAAAATTCCCAGTTGAAATCCAAAAATCCTGCTGTAAGAATTCAAAATTGCAAGACAAACATAAAACCCAGCAAAGACCAAAGAGAGTGTGCCATGACACGACTCATCAAACCCACTGGAGAGGAATCCCTTGTTCCCAGCTCTGCCTTTGGATCCTGTGACCTTGTGAACTGGTGTGAAGTTGGTGTTCCACATAAAAGGCACTCAAAGGTCACAAGTTCCTGAGCTAACACGGGATGTATTCCCAAGGTAACAGCTAAAACAAGCCACAGAAAATGTTTAAGAACTGGTATTTGGTTTGTGTAAGTAGAGTCAGAACCCCAGCTGACAGTTGCTGCTGCTGGGACTCAAATGATGGTGAGGAGTATTTGCAGTACAAGGAAAAAAAAATTCACTTAAGAACATCCTTATTAGCAAATTAATGTGCTAAAAAAGAGAGAAAAATTGGCTGCAATGTTGAAACAAGACTAAGAATGAAATGTCTGCTTGTGAGCTGCCAATAAGGCTCAAAACCAAGCAGGTGGGAAAGGCTGTGCAGTTAAATAACCAAAGTTGAGAGGCCACATTTACACAGATTATTTGGCCCTAACAGAAAAGGACCAGAAAAATAAGCAGAATATGGATCTGGTATTTACAGATCAGTTATTAAAAAAACCCCAAAACAACAAATAAAACAACCCAAACCCACACGTCCTACAGCGTGTGCTCAGAATCCAACAGTGAAGTTCCCAAGTTGATCCACACAAACTCCCCATGTCCCATCTGGCTCAGTTTTCACCCAGAAGAACCCAAGAGTCACACTTCCCAAACATGGAGCTGCAGAGCAGAACCAAGGTTAGAACCAGAAGGATGCCTGGGCCTGGCCTGTCTGATCGCTCCTCTTGTCTCCAGAGCTGCAGAGGACATCCGAGGCCAGGGATGTTTTTGGGTCTGAGGCCTGGCTGTCCCAGCTCAGGGTGGCACTGGGGTGGGGAAGCAGCTCCAGGGGGGCAGAGGGGCTGCCAGGAGCCTGCAGAGGGGCTGCCAGGGGCCTGCAGAGGGGCTGCCAGGGGCCTGGGGGGCCTCAGGCTTCCAAGTTCTCCAGCAGGGCCTCGCCGTCCGCCCTCTTCTCCGGGGTCGTGTACAGGAAGTTGCAGCAGATGTAGAGGGGGAAGGTCAGGAGCCTGCTGTCCAAATTCATCACAATCTGCTCCTGCAAGCACACGGGACGTGGGGCAGGGGGGATCAAGAGCACAGGGTTGAGACAACAGTCACTGCAGTTAATGACTGTGGATTAAAGTCAGAATATAAAAATAAACCCAAGACAGCAATTCCCCTTCACCTCCAGCAGATGGTTTATAGCATTGGCACTCATGAGACACTCTCAGGCTGCTCACAGCCCCAGAGCTCCCAGGCCTCTGCAGCAGAGGAAACAACCACAGGAAAGCAAATTAACCCTCCAGCACTCTGGGGAGAAAAGGGCAGTTTTCAGTTTTGTGAGATTTCACCAACCAGGCAACACCCAACAGTCTGTATTTTAAAGTAAACTTCAGTTTGTGGGTAGGAATTTTTGGGTTTCACTTCAGGAACTGGTTTTGGGGTAGCAAAATTGAAACTTTACGCTACAGTGAGGATGGTACTGCCAGGGAAAGGTTTTGTGTGTTCTCACCACCTCCATATCACTGCTGGCTGGGATCTCAGAAACTTGATTTACAAGTCTTGCACTTGCCTCAGTAAATTCTGCTGTCAGCAATGGGTGGGAAAGGGCACGTGCTCTAAGGAAGCTCTGCTCCTCTCTGGGGCTTGTACTGATTTATTTAATGCAGTAATAAATCCGACCCTTGAACAACATGTAGACATTCTTTTAACTCCTGAGTTTACAAGGGAGTCTTTGAACGAACTCCAAGTTTGCCTCTAAGTAAGGATCCTGCTGGACAGATCACCCAGAGGGGTGATGTCAGCAGTGCTGGAAGGCTGGGAGAGCAGCAGGTCCAGACCAGGGCACTGGCAGCACACAGCAGCACCACGGGCACTGATTTCACTCATATGGGAACTAATTTCATATTATCAACACTAGTGAAGCCCACACTACCCCACTCTAGTTCCATTTCACAAATTAGCCTTAATCACCCACTACCTCTGACAGGAACACTTGAGATTCCACACAAGCAACAACAAGAACAGCAACTCCCCTTCAGGGGCACTGGTGGTTTCTCTGCATTTTTTTCATGCCTTGGACTCCACAATTCAAGTTCAACAGCTCAAAAACCCAGAGACACACCTGGTCCTTCTCAAGGGTGAGGATCTGATAGCCCGTGGTCCTGCTGCAAACCATCTTCCCGCTGCTGTCGAAGGAGGCCAGACGTAACCTGGGGGACAACGGCAGGGACCTGGCTCCAGAACACCCCGTGTTCCCAGCACGGGGAGCTCCTCAGAGGGGACAGCCCACGTTTGAAGGTAAGCAGTGAGCTGCAGTGAGGCCCAGCTGGGCAGGGCTCGGGCCGTACCTGAAGGCGATGCTGCGCCGGGGCTGCAGGCTGACGGAGCCGCTGCACGGCTGGTTCAGAGTGTTGCGCTTGAAGATGATGTAGCGGTTGGTGTAGGTGACCAGCAGGTCGAAGCCGAAGTTGAAGCCAGTCCAGCGCCAGCAGTACTGCAGGACAGGAGAGCCAAAGGAACCAGCCTGAGCAGTGGCTGTGACAGGGATGGTGAGTGTCACAGGAACGGTGACAGCCACTGCCCCAGCAGTGGATGGTGAGTGTCACAGGAACGGTGACAGCCACTGCCCCAGCAATGGATGGTGAGTGTCACAGGAACGGTGACAGCCACTGCCCCAACAATGGATGGTGAGTGTCACAGGAACGGTGACAGCCACTGCCCCAGCAATGGATGGTGAGTGTCACTGGAATGGTGACAGCCACTGCCCCAGCAATGGATGGTGAGTGTCACTGGAATGGTGACAGCCACTGCCCCAACAGTCCACCCTGGGAATGTGACCCCAGGCTGCAGAGATGGGGGATTCAAGGGGCCCTGCCAACATCTGCCTGAAACACAAGATACTCGGTAGGGAACTGGCTGGCAGCCAGAGGACTGTGAGAGCAGCTGAGTGTCAGCTGCCTCCCCGACAGACAAAAATACACAGTACAAGTGCTGATAAAACTCTGCACTGGGAAGGGGCTGCTCTGTGAGCAGCACTCACTGCAGGCCCCAGCCATGCCCAAAGCACTCCTTGGAGCACAACTTCCCGAGGTTAAGTGACTTAAGAGGGGAAAATTCATGTCTCCTGTTTTTTCACAAGATCTATTACCTAAAGACACAGATGTGTACATGGAACACAGAGGTTCTGGCTGTGATTATTACACATTTTATCTACAGAAGTTCCTTTCCCAGCTAAAAGGAAAATGACCAGAACTCTATTTACTGCCTGTATTTTTCAAGTCTCAGATGACAGTCTCACATGAAAACAGTTTTCCCAAACACTGTCTCAGTTGCAGCACAAGAGCACCATGAAACACCAACCCCTTACTCCTTGCAGAGACAGTACGTGTTTCCATCCTTCTGGGGAGAACAAAATGATTTCTTTCTCCATGACATCTTTTGGGTGCAGTTTGACAGTGGGGGCCTGAGTGTTTTGGGAATGCCTGACACACCTCAGCCTTTGCCCCACTTACATCACCATCCTTGGCGAGTTTGCGACCACACCTCATGCTGTTCCCTTCCAGTTCCTCTTTATTTATTTCCTGGGGCCTGAAAAAAATAAAAGAGCATCTTTAAGGACACTTCAACAGCTTTGTATGATAGCTTAATGTGGGAAAGATTAACAGACTGGAGTAAACTGGTCTGACCACACAATCACAGAATACCCTGAGTTGGAAAGGACCCACAGCCAACACTTCTCTAGCAGAGGTGTGACCAGATGAGCTCTCTGGGTCCCTTCCATCCTGAATTGTCCCATAAACATCCAACTACTCTATAAAACTGCCACACAAACCAGGCTGTGAGACCTCAGTTAGGCAGGACTTTTATAACAGAACTTTTCCAGATAACAAAGCTATAGCTGTTGCAGTGAAACACATTCTCCAAGCCTCATAAAGGCCCAAGTCCTTTTTAAACACATCAGTCCCATCTCCCAGGCCCAAGCAGAAAGTGGTGCTGGGGCACAGCTGCAGGGCCCTGCAGAGCAGCAGTGCAGTGAAGCAGCAGCCACAAGACACTGAGAGGTTTCTCAAGGGGTTGGTTACAAACTTGCCTAAAAAACCCTCTTCCCTGAGTGCTCCTGACGTGCCAGAGCCTCTCTGTTCTGCCATCCCACACCAACAGCAGCTCCTTCCACCCAAGTCTCCTCTGGTGCTTCCACACATCCAGCAGCCCTGCAGAGCCACAGGAGGGAGAGCAGCCCCAGCTTTCCAGAGGTGTGGTACTCCACTTCACTTCACACACAATGACTTCATCAGCCAACCAACCTCCACTGCCAGACAGTCTTGAAGTGACACCAGGCCAAGCTGTATAAGCCCCAGAGACATCAACCCCCCACAGGTCAAACTATACACCTGCAAGATCCAACAACATCCTCCAAGCTCCACAAGCCACAAGAAATGCAGCATCTGTTCTCTTCTACTGCTCACACCCCCCAGGAACCGGCAGCTAAAGCTTTTATGAACAGAGTCTGGGTCTTTTCTCTCCATTTCTGCAAAAACCAACCCTGAGAGATGAAGTGTTTTATGAACAGGTTAAGCACATAAACTCATCTCAGTAACCAAATTCACCCAAGAACCTCCTGTGTGCTTTTCCACATCTTCCAGTTGAACTGGTTCTGTGGCTGACCTAAATGCAGCAATGGTGATAAAGGATTTATTTCTGTTTAAATAGTGACAAATTTCACAAACATTAGTCCATAATGCTCAGACAGACATTAGCATCCCCCTCCCCACCCCTGGAGCAGCCTCAGATGATGCAAAACTTCAGCTTTAACCACTTCCATCAGCTGCCACACAGTGAACAGCTGAGTTATCCTATTTCCTCCTCAAACACTGCTAAAGAGACTGTTAGAGTAGAAACTATCCAGCCCTGGGCTCGAAAGATCTGTCTGGCTTCTGCCACAGAACACATGTTTAATTAAAAATGATCCACTTCAGCACAAGTAGACCTTGAGCAGCTCCACGTCCAAGCCATAAACTCCAGTGTTACACTAAAACATTCACCAATCCTGAAGAGCAAATAAAATGTTTAGTCCTTTTAAATGCAAACTCATCAAGTAGAAGAGAAACTCTTCTCCCCCTCCCTGAAGTTACCAAGAGCACACACATGCCACGTGTCCAAGCAGTGCCATTTCCATGCTGGCAGTGTTGGGATGAGCAGGTGCAGTGACACTGCTCCAAGGAGGGTGTGGAAATAGAGCCCTAGTTCAGCTCAGGGGAGTCAGTCACATCTTGTTCTGATTCCCAAGGCTGTTTCCTTACCTCTGAGGGAAAAAAATGTGCCGGGATATCAACACAGGCAGCAGGTGTGGGAAGAGGAGTGGCAGAGCTGGGTAAAGGATGGGCTTATAAAACCTTAATTCTTTTCTTCCAGCTACAGGTTGGACAAACGGCCAAGACATCTGTGTTAACACAAAGGAACAGTTGCACAGGTTCCCTTCTAAGGCACAAGTTGCCAGCCCCAGGCCTCTCATGCAGGATGGCAGCACAGGAGAGCTCCCAGGCCCCCAAGCCCCACGGATCTCCTCAGGGACTGTGTGCTGTGCACAAGGTTCATTGTAGCTGAGCTGCCTGTGCTGATATTTCTGGGTTCCACTGTCTTTAAAAATATCTTAAAAAATCCCAGACTGCAAAAGGGAAAACTAGACAAGAAAAACACTCTACTCCTTCCAAGAGCCACTGAAACCCTCGGCTGCAGCTGAACATGAAAGCTGCTCTTTCCCAAGCTGGATGATCCCCATCGTCCCCACTGCAGGCTGTGGGAACTCACTTTTCCAGCAGCTCATATATCCTCTGGCTGACAATTCTAATGCTCCCACTGCACTGCAGTGAACTACCAAAACACATCCAAATCAGCAAATACAGGGTCCTACCTGGTGTCAGAATTTTGGTGACTTAATGCTCACTTCCCCAGGAACTGTGGTTCCCCACGAGCCAGGAGGGTACGTTTGCTCCCAGATGCAGCCACAGCAGCAGTGCAAAAGTCTTCCCAAGAAAACACCACATCAGAAACAAGCTATGGCACCCAAAATTAATCTTTAGGAGTTGAATATGAGAGTCACAACTCTGCATTTCACCTCTACTGTTTCCCAGAGCACTGGTGCTGAAGAGAATCACTTCTTAAAGATCTTGACTATTCTTCAGATCACAGTTTGAGGGATTTTTTACAGTATTACATGATAACATCAAAAGGAAGCAATTAAGGAAATATTTCCTATGTAACACATAACTGAGCTATGGAGCCACACCACAGGGTGTTGGGGCTAAAGCACAAGCTGTTTCAGAACAGAACTGTATGTATTTAAGAACAGTTCCACTGGCTGTTGGTTGGTCAGTAATGATCCAGCCAAACCCTCCACCTGAATAATCCTGAACTGCTACTGCCACGGAAGTACAGCAAGAGAACAGGGAAGACTTTCACCTTTAGGGAAGATGGGAGATCTGTAACTGAACACTGCTGAAAAAGACTGTGAAAAGGGTTGGAGCAAGAACACAGCCTTGTTTCACACCATTCTTTATTAGAGAGGGCTCAGAAAGTGCATTGCCATATCTGACTTGGCCGTGCTGATCCTCATGGAGTGAGATGATCATTTTAAGGAATTTAGGGGGACAACCAAAACGTTCCAAAATCTGCCACAGACCTTTTCTGCTCACAGTATTGAAAGCCTTGGTGAGGTTGACAAAGGTTACATAAAGACCTTTGTTTTGTTCCCTACACTTCTCTTGCAGTTGTCTGAGAACAAACACCATGTCTGTGGTGCTCCTGTTGGCTCTGAAACCACACTGACTTGCAGGTAGGATTCCTTCTGCTATAGTGGGTATTAGTCTGTTCAAGAGTATTCTTGCCAGGATTTTGCCAGCAATGGAGAGTAGAGTAATACCACGGTAACTTGAGCAATCAGATTGAATTCCTTTCTTCTTATACAAAGTGATAATACAAAGTGTTCTTGCTCCAACCCTTTTCACAGTCTTTTTCAGCAGGATGCTCCAAAGGGCCACGGCAGACCTCAAGGATCAGGACGGGATCTACATCTGATACCGTACTGATGGAAGCCTTTTCAACCTAAGGGGACTGAAGGCCCACACCAGGACCTTAAACCATCTTGTCTGGGAGCTGCTTTATGCTGATGACGCCGCCCTTGTTGCCCACACAGAAGCAACTCTGCAGCGTTTAACATCCTGCTTTGCAGATGCTGCTGAGCTCTTTGGGCTGGAAGTCAGCTTAAAGAAGACAGAAGTTCTCCATCAACCTGCACCTCAGGAAGGCTTCCATCATCCCCATATCACCATTGGCCAATCAGAGCTCTAATCAGTCCAGCAGTTTAATTACCCAGGTAGTCTCATCTCCTCGGATGGTAAGATTGATGGGGAGATAGACAACAGGTTAGCAAAGGTATATAGTGCTTTTGGAAAACTCCATAAAAGAGTATGGTGTAATAAACACTTGAAGAAAAGTACAAAGATCAGTGTTTACAGAGCCATAGTGCTGTCTGCTCTCTTATATGGATCCGAATCACGGGTCATCCACCGCCACCACCTGCGACTCCTGGAACGCTTCCATCAACGCTGCCTCCGTACAATCCTAAACATCCACTGGGCAGATTATGGGACCAATCCATCTGTTCTAGAACAGGCAGCAGTCACAAGCATTGAGGCCATGGTGCTGAGAACACAGCTGTGCTGGGCAGGGCACGTCTCCAGGATGAAGGACCAACCACCCCCTCCCTAAGATCTTGCTTTATGGGGAACTTGCTGCATGAGAGGAGCCCCGAAGAGGAGATACAAGGACTCCCTGAAACAACATCTCAGCCTTGGTCATATTGATCATCAGAACTGGTCTACTCTGGCCTCCAATCGGGAGGCCTGGAGACACCCCATCTGTAACGCTGCTGATGCCTTTGAGAAAGCACACAGGATCACTCTCGAGGAGAAAAGACGATGCAGAAAGAATCATGTCCTGCAGAATTTCCCACCTTAAGGAGTCTTTCTGCTGTGCCTTTTGCAACTGGACGTGTCTATGTTGTATTGGCCTTTTTAGTCACCAGTGTGCTTGTAACAAACGTGGGTAGAGCCTTCCCAAATCTTCGTTTGTGAAGCCTGGCCATGATGATGACTGAACTGAACACTGCCCCAACTCACATGGCCCCTGGTTCAGATCAGGTCAGTGGTTCTCACACCTTCCAGCCTGTGATCGATCAGTGAACTCTCCTGTCACAACCCAACCTGTCCATCTCCACACGCTGGGCTGACACAGCTTTGGGAGAAATAAACCACTGGGTTTGCTGGTTTTTGGAAGGTTAAAGACATTTTGCAGCTGCCTGACCTGGCATTTATTCTCCACAAAGCACTTTAGGAACCAGGAGAGAAGAGAAAGACAGGGACAACTCCTCCAGCTGCATTTTGCCACAGTTCTGGTGTTTGGAAAGAGCTCAGGGGACCTGGTTCATGGCAACATGGCAAAGAGCAAGCAGGAGGCAGGGGAACAGCTGGAGGAACACACACACATGTAACACACACTAATCACACACAACCCACTGCCAGGCACAGGCTCAGCATCCCAGACACCACTCAGGGCTTACAAACAGGACAGCCCAGCCCAGCCCTGGGGAGGGCATGGAAACCACCCCCCCTACATGGGAGCTGGCAGGGAATTCCACAGTCAGAGAATCATGGAATATGCTGAGCTGGAAGAGACCCACCAGGATCATCGAGTCCAGCTCCTGGCCCTGCACAGACACCCCAACAATCCCACCCTGTCCCTGAGAGTGTTGTCCAAACCCTCCTGGAGCTCTGGCAGCCTTGGGGCCGTGACCAAACCCTGGGGAGCCTGGTCAGGGCCCAACCACCCTCTGGGGGAAGAACCTTGTCCTGAGATCCAACCTAAACCTCCCCAGCTCAGCTGCATTTCCTCACTGCCAAGGCAATGCCAACACCATGCAGCACGTGGTCCAGGAAGGAAAAAAGATGGGATATAAAACTGCAGGATTATGGAGAGAATAGGGTCTCAGCAGTAGAGAAGGATGCCCTGCCTGGGGAAAGCTGGAGAGCTGGCAGAGGAGAGATGTCAAACACAACCCTGAGGGGGAAAGGCTGTGAAAGGAGAGGGGAATGGGGGAACAGATGACAGGATACTGAGCCCTGCTGGGTGCTGGGCCCTTGCTCGCTGCCTGGGGGGGCAGGACGGGAGGGGCAGGAACAAAGGTTACTGTGGAGTTATCCCTGCACAAACAAAAAAGGATGGATTGCCTTCTGCACCGACACAGTTCCACTGCCCCCCAGCCTCCTGCCCACCCAGCCCAGGACAGAACAGGCCTCTCCATCTGCAGCACTGTTCCCAAAGTATCCTGGAATTGGAAGGCTCAGAAATGACCCTTTCGCAGCCTCGACACTCACTGCAAAGCAAAGTGCTGGTGAGAAGCATTAACCAACATAACAGAAAATACAGAACGTGTGCCCCCCACCCAGCATTGCCCTCTGGTCCCACTCTACCAGTTTTCCAGAGTTCTGCTGGTTAAAGGATGGGAGCCCAAGGGAACAGGCAGCCCCACAGAGAGCAACAGTTTAAAACCACTGAAGTATCCTTACTCCCCCAAAAACCACTGAAATATGCTTCCCCCCCCTTAATGTAAACTCCCAAATTAATCATGTCAGAATTTATATGAGGAAGGTTTCTAATTTAGGAAAGATAGAAAAGAAAGCCTGTAATATACCTACCCAATATCATTGTCTTGTTCTGCTCTGAGCATGGCAAACCACTGCTGTTTGTAAACAGAGGACAGCCATTCTAAAATTGAAAAAAAATAAATAAGCTTGTTGTCTTTGCTGCTGGGAATGGGGATGGTCATAAACATTTGAAATAGAGAAATAAAATGACACTGAAATAATGAAGTTACACTTGTTAGCTGGATGGCCTATGAAACCCACCCCCTGATAGCTCCCTGTGTTCTCCAGCTCCAGCCTCAACCACGGGAGAAGGCATACAGAGAAACATCCACAACCAACAGGCAGGAACTCCAGACTATGCTCATCTCCTCAAATATTCACCACTTCAAAAAATGATGCAACTCAACACGTTTTCTCAGCACACAAAGCTCTGTTCAGCCAAGGAGCTTGTTAACAACCCCTTGGGAGAAGATGCTGCTTTCTGAATCCCCAGTGGAATTTTACACAAGTTACACAAGAAGAAAACAGAATCAAGGATAAAGGAAACAGTGACTTAGCACAGATATAGTAAAACAAATAGAAATTGTGCCCTGCTAGGAATAAACACAACTCATGTCTTCCTTGGAGAACACACAAAGATTTTATCAGTTCTGTTAATTTAATGTTGCAACCGAGAGATAAAACAGAACAAACCCAAACAGTTTGTCAGGCAGTTACACAGAGGGGATCCCAGGCACCAAGAGCACAGGGTGCAAGAAGTTCTCAGTCGAGATAATGAACAGGGGCAAGGTCATGGATGAGAACCAGCACTGGGGGAATGGGCTGGGTGGGAGGAAGAAGAACCACCAGGACTACAACCAAAGCAGGAGCTGATGGAGGGGACAGAAGGGAGGAGGGGTGAGATCACATGGCTGAGATCGACTTACAACTCCCAGAAGGAAAAATTAAACCCAGCCCTTGTCCTACTGACTCTAGTGTGAGAATTCAGACTGTGACAGGAGCAAACTGGGAATTCATCGAAGTACAACAAAGTGTAAAAATGAATTAAGGAAAATTGTGTAGGGAAGGGGCATAGAATGGATGTGTCAGAAGGGAAGGAATGAAAGCAAATCAGGAGGGAGAGCATCTTTTCTATTTGTTTATGTGTAGGTATCTATTTCATACCTCATATTTCAACTGCAGTTCATCTGTTAATTTCTAGACATTAAGAAGGAAAGCACAGCTTAGGAAATGTTCAGAAGTCACCAAGTAAAACAGAACAATGAACACTGTGCTCACACAGACACATTATGTACTTCTGCCTCTTGCACCTTTCCTGCCCAAAGAAGAGTCTTGGGAACTCCTAACACAGAATTTCAGTTTTCTCCTGCAGGCCCTACACACACAGAGGGTATAAAAGTGAATAAATAAATAATCACAGCATTACTTTCAACTACTCAGTGTGATTTTCTTCTTTACCTCGAGAGGAATTTCATCCAGAATTATCTAAAAGGTTTCCACCAGAACACAAGGTCCCCAGCAAAGTCCCCCTTCTGCAGACTCTCAGCTATGAAGTATCCCCTCAAATGCTGGATGCTGGCAGCCTGTCCCAAAGTGAGCCCCAGGATTTATCTAAACCTCCTTGCAAAGGAAGAGCAACAGTTTTGATTGAACACAGCTTTTGGCTGCACGCTGGAATGAAGAGATTACAAGAGGCCAAAGCTCTGGGATCCTCCTGGCACAGGAGCTGCTCCTCCTTCCCCTGTGCCACAGTGCCACCCAGCCACGGCAGGGCACTGCACCAGCACTGCTCTGCACACCCTGGGAGCCGGGACACAACTCCTCCTGCTGCTTCAACCAGCACCAGCAAATCAGCCTCAGAGCTGCAGTCAGTCCTGTCAGAACCCTTCCTCTGACACACACAGGTAAAGCCTTCTGGGTTTGAGAACTGACACAACATTTACTCCCTGAAGAACAGCAAGGGAAGGCTGCCCACCCCAGCCCATCCCAGAGCTGGGCACTGAGAACCACAGAAACGGTAAGAGATGGCAATCAAGTGTAGCTCCTGCAAATTGCTGCTTTGCAACATTTTATTCACATGCTGACAAAGCCACTTCATAACAGTGCATTGTTCTCCTCTATCATCATTCAATTAAGGATCTAAAGGGTCATTAACCCAAAGTTACTCTTTATGAGGACTTTTGCACTGTGCCTATAACCTTTTATACATCACTTGATCATGTAAAATATCACATATCAAAGCTCAGAGCTGTTCTTTGGGGATTTTTATGCATAACAAAATGTTAACTCAGTTGCTGGAGGTCAAGCAAGTGTGCTCTGGGCACCCCAGAGCAGACCACTCCCACCTGTGTGGAAGTGCTGCCTCCCCCTGACGCTCAAAGAACACCCCGAGAGGGGCATTTTGAGCCCAGGACAACAGAGTTCCTTCCTCTTCTACTTCATAACACCCAGTGCAGAAAATAGTCTCTTCTCCAGCTATTAAGGCACTAAACCAGAACTGGAAGGAGGGAAAGCCAGTCCCTTTCAGCAGTAACTTCATTTTCACTCAAGAGATGGGCAGATTTCTGGGGAGGAAAGGCCCTGCTCCCTCCTCACAGGCACAGAGGGCCCTAATCCAGCTTCTGAGAACATCTTTCCAACATTTCAAAGGGGCAGAGAGAGGAGCTCAGGGTTGCTCAGACATTCAGCCACAAAGAGTGATTAAGTCATTGTTGCTGGCAGAGACAGGACATGGCAGCACAGGAAAGGCAAACTGAAGTGACCCTACACCAGCTCAATGGCAAGGAAAGCATCTCAGGAGGATTTAACAATTCCATCAGGCTTCAAAGGAAACATCCCAACTTGCCATCACAGCATCATGCTGACATCTACAGCAGCATGAAGAGAAAAGCCAACATGAGATGAAAAAAAATTAACTTTATAGCAGCATAATTCAAAGACAGGTTAAACATTTACATAAGGTAGGGCTCCACTGTGACCCCCAATGCTGCAGGAGTGGACTTATCTACTTCATATCTCAAGTATGGAGAGGTGACAAGTACACAATGTCAAGAAATTACAAATAAAAGTGATGAACAGCTCAATAAATTCAGTTTTAATTGGCACGTGGTTATTACACCCACACAGACATCACAGACACACATGACTGGACAGTTACATTTTTTTAACCCATGTCAAACTCTGTATGTGACAGCCAGGAGAAAACTGGCAGAGTTAAGATGCAAAAATCATTGCAAGGATTCAACTCTGACAAGGGAACTCTGAACAAGGACACCAGGAGCCAAATTCAAAGGGGGAGCATGAGAGTTCCAAACACTTACAAGGAGCACAACTGACCTGGCTGAGAGAAGGAGAAGAAAAGAAAAGGGAAGAAGGAGGAGGGGGACATGTCTCCCATGATAAGAGAGAGGAATGATAGTGGGAAAACATTTTCAAGTGAGAGCCCAGCTTGATAACCCATTTCCAGCCTTATTCATCCAAGAGCAGCCAGGTTCACACAGCTGCTGAGCAGGGAACAGTGATCTGGGCACTCAGATTTCAGCAGCAAGATGAGAAGGGGCTTTTCATTTTCCAGTGATACTGTGATGTAACAGCAGCAATCTCCAATAACATGAGCATTTCCCTCTCTGGGCTTCAAAAAGCACATGGCCCTAGAAGGGGAATGTATTTTATACAAGTCAAAGTACAAATAAAACGTCAAGAGCAATATATTTGAATATCCTCTCTGCCCCAAATCATCCTAAATCTTTTAGTAAACATCACTTGTCTTGGAAGAGAGAAGAAGAGTTCAGGGCATCTTGTGCTTTTGGTCTTCATTTTTAGGTATTATTCCAAATCCTATTAAAACCTACTCAGCTCTTCTTAGAAAGTAATGGCTAGAAAACAGTTGAGTCTCAGGAAGTTTTGCTCTCTCAAAAGCAAAAGACCTTTTTTCCATCTCTGGGGTTCTGAGATCATTTAAACTTTGATAATGTATCATGTATTGACTGCAGAGTACTTTGATAATCTGACTGATCAGCAGAATGTTTTTATGCCTATAGTCTTTATACTCAGCTTCTGCTGAATCTCCAGCCACAAACAGATGTTGGAAGGAAACACATGAGCAGTAAGACAAGAAAACACACGGAGCCCTTCCCAGCGACTCCAGGGCAGGACAGGCTGGGGAAGGCACACAGAATGGGATCAGCTGAGTAGAACCATGGAATGGTTTGGGTTGGAAAAGCCCTCTGAGGTCACTGAGTCCAACCATTCCCCAGCACTGCCAAGGCCCCCACTGAACATGTCCCCAAGTGTCACATCCACACGGCTTTTAAACCCCCCAGGGATGGGGACTCCACCCCTGCCCTGGGCAGCTGTGCCAGGGCTGGACAGCCCTTTCCCGGAAGGAATGTTCTTAATGTCCAATCTGACCCTTCCCTGGCACAGCTTGAGGCTGTTTCCTCTCCTCCTGTCCCTTGTTCCCTGGCAGCTCCCCCCTCCTGTCAGGGGGTTGCAGAGCCAGAAGGTCCCCCCTGAGTCTCCTTCTCTCCAGGCTGAGCCCCCCCAGCTCCCTCAGCTGCTCCTGCTGCTCCAGCCCCTTCCCAGCTCTGTTCCCTTCCCTGGACACCTCCAGCCCCTCCGTGTCCTTCTGGGGGTGAGGTGCCCCAAACCCATCGCGGGAGCTGAGGAGAGGCCTCAGCTGTGCCCAGCACTCACTCACCTGAGGGCAGCAGGGCATCTCTCTCCACGATCCTGGCCGAGGCCAGGTCACTGATGATGTACTGCAGCCTCAGGTGGGAGAACACGGGCAGGAATGCACTTCCCTGGGCTGATTCCAGGAAAGCAACATCACCCCCAAACTCTGCAACACAGAGCACCTGCATCACAACTTGTTCTCCCCAATATTTGCCAGCCCCTATTTATATTTGAGTTCTTACTTGTTGATCAGAGATCGATATTATGAGCAGGTGAGTCACCATTTGCCACTAAAATTAAGAAATTACTAGCATTCAAACCCCAAACCAAGGCCAGGCAACTCCTCCTACCTCTCCTGCGCTCGGCAAACCAGGCATCAGCTTCAGTCAACACCTGCTTGAAAGACCCATTCCAAGAAGGCACGAGCTGAAGGAACATCCACTGGGAAAAACAAACAAATTCTAGTGAGTCAGTGGAAGAAGGTTTTAAATAAGTGATCCATGCATCAATAAGAGATATTACCATAGTGCATTCATTCCTATAGAGGTTCTGATACTCAGTTAAATACTTTCACTCAATCCCACGAAGGTTCCACTGCCCCAAGCCCCAGCAGCCCCTTGGGAAGTACCTTTTTGAGAGCAGTGTACACGTCCATTTCCACCTGCAGCACAAACAGGTTGGAGGAGCTGATCAGCTGCTTCATAAGGTTTATGCTGAAAAAAATCAACCATAACAGGTCAGTGAGACAGAAGAGAGAAAAGGAAGAAGGGTAGACAGGGAACAACCAACCAGCAACAGCCCAGAAAACGATCTGCAGTGAGCTCTAGACTTGGGCAGAGGTTGTCCTTCATCCCTGCAGGGGAAGTGCAGCCCCAGTACCTGAGTTCTTTGAAGAGTCCAATGCTCTGGTGGGTCATCAGGTTGTTCAAGAGCCACTCAAGGCACCTGTATGGAAAGCAAGGAATTAAGACCTTTGCTTGTTTTAACTCTATGTCAACACTCCTGCAACAGGTGCTCAGGCTCACAAAGCCTGATGCTGCCCCACAGGACTGGGAAATGTTGCCTTAACCCAAGCCAGAAATGCATAAAAATACATATATAAAAAAAAGAGTTCTTTCAAAAACTGAGAGTTTGCCAGGAAATTTTCTGAAGCTCTTATTAAAAGTGCATTGAGTTTCTCCAAGGGCACAGCACAAGCAGAATTCCAAGGACTGTCAATGCCACGCAGAGCTCTGAGAACACACTGAGTCCCAGCACAAGGAAGCAGGTGGGAGCTCTCAGCATTCTGCTCCCAAATGTGGCATTAGCCCTCCTCATTTCAAGTTCAGCTTGAACTCTGTATATTAAAGCCACTTTTTGATGAAACAGTCTGTGATCATGTGTTACTTCACTGTCACACTCAAGACCAAACATACTGTCCTTACTACTGTAATTCCCTCAGTCACAGCACAGGCCAATCAACCTGCCACAATCTGCACGGATTTTAAGGGAGTTGATGACAGCAGAACCTCAACAATAGGATGAGCAAAGCCAAAATCAGGCAGCTGTCAACGGATTAGGAGGGCCAAAGCCCAACGAGAACTTGATTTAGTCACTATAGTTAAAGACAACACAAAAGTTTCTACAAATACACTGCAAAAGGAAGGTCAAGCAGCATCTCCATCATTTGTTCAGTGCAGAGGGTGATGCAGTGACAGGGAATGAGGAACAGGCTGAGGTACTCAATGCCTTCTTTGCCTTGGTCTTTATTATCAAGATGAGTTGTCCTGAGGATATTCGGCCCTGGAATTGAGGGATAGGGAGCTGAGTGAAGGCCCTGTAATCCAGGAGGAGATGGGCAGTGACCAGTCCATGGGCCCTGATGGGATGCACCCCAGAGCATTGAGGGGACTGGCAGAAGAACTTGCCATAGCACTCTCAACCATCTACCAGCAGTCCTGGTGAACTGGAGAAGTTCCAGCTGACTGGAAAGCAGCAAATGTAACACCTATCTACAAGAAGGGTCAGGAGAATGATGCAGGGAATTCCAGGCCTGTCAGCCTGACCTTGGTTCCAGGCAAGGTTGTGGATGGGATCCAGAGTGCCATCACATGGCACAGGCAGGACAGCCTGGCCCAGGCAACGTGGATTCACAAAAAGCAGGTCCTGCCTGACCAACCTGATCTCCTTCTCTGACAAAGTGACCTGCCCAGCAGATGAGGGGAAGGCTGTGGATGTGTCTGTCCAGACTTCAGTGAAGTGTCTGACACCATCTCCCACAGCATCTCCCGGAGAAACCGGCTGCTCATGGCTGGGATGGGTGGAGTCTTGGATGGGCAACAAACTGGCTGATGGCCAGGCCCAGAGAGCTGTGGGGAAGGGACATAAATCCAGATGGGGCCCATCAGCAGCAGCATCCCCAGGGCTGGCTGGGGGCCAGTCCTTTTTCCCACCTTTCTGGATCTGGATGAGGGGGTCACCTGTGCTCTCAGTACACCTGCAGACAACACCAGGGTGGGTGGGTGGCAGTGTGGATCTGCTGGAGGGCAGGAGGGCTCTGCAGACAGGCCTGGGCAGACCCCATCAACAGGCCAAGGACAACAGCATGAGGTTCAACAAGGCCAAGTGCCACGTCCTGCACTTGGGTCACAGCAACCCCTGCAGCTCCAGGCTGGGGGAGGAGTGGCTCGAGAGCTGCTCAGCAGGAAGGGACTTGGGGGTGCTGCTTGACAGCCAGCTCAGTATGAGCCAACAGTGAGGCCAAGTGGCCAAGAAGGCCAATGGATCCTGGCCTGTATCAGGAACAGTGTGGAGCAGGAGCAGGGCAGTGATTGTCCCCTGTGCCTGGCACGGGGGAGGCCACACCTCGAGTGCTGCCTGCAGGTCTGGCCCCACTTCCAAAGGAACACTGAGGTGCTGCAGCGTGGGCAACAACGGGCACCAGGGCTCTGAGGGATCCAGGAAACACGTCTGTTGGGGAGCAGCTGAGGGAGCTGGGCTTGCTTAGACTCAGGAAGAGGAGACTTGGGGTAACCTCACTGCTCACAACTCCCTGACAGGAGGTTGTAGAGAGGTGAGGACTGCTCTTCTCTGCTGTGCCTGCAGTGAGAGGGCCAGAGGAAATGGCCTTAAGCTGAGGCAGAAGAGATTCCGATCAGATTTTTCCACTGTTTGGGTGGTCAGGCACTGGAATGTGCTGCCCAGGGAGGTGGTGGAGTCACGGAATTAAGAGGTGTATGGATCTGGCACTGGGTGATAAGGTTTTAGGGGTTAAAGTGGCAGTGCTGGTTGGACAGCTGGACTGAATGATCTTAAAAGTCCCTTCCAACCTTCATGATTCTATGATTCTATTCTAATAAAACAATTAACCTGGGCATTATTATACTGTGTGTAAACTCACTGACCATTAGCCATGTCCAAAGCAGCTCAGAGACAGGAATTCTTACTTTTTCTTCACGGAGTCCAGCCCGTATGTCCCCGCGGAGTTGTAGTACCCACACACGGTCTGGGAGGTGATGGTTTCCTTCATTGTTTCACCACACTGCTGGATTAAGCCATCCTGCAGGGAGGCAAAAAACCCACAAGTATTCCGAGTGTTTATTTCCCAACAGGAAATGTCAGGCACTGCACAGTTCATGTGGATTTTCCTGCCTGAGCCACCCCAAAGACCCCAGGCTGCAGTGACCTATGCTACGCTGCCCAAAACATTTCAACCACTGCTCCCCAGAAACACAGACTTGCCTGAAGAATATTTCCCACGAAAGAGAAGCATGATGAATGTCTTCAGGGTAGAGCAAACGAGCTGCAAAACCTATTTTAATCTACTTTTAGATATGACTCAAAGCAGCACTTAATCTTACACCTGAATCTTAGCCACAGCACTTTCCAACAAAAGTTGGAAAGTTGTGTTTAGGTTTTTTCCCACTAAGCCTGAAAAGCTGATTCATTTCTCTGGGTGAAACAGGACATGCTGGCGAGGGTTTTATGAACTGTTCTGCCTCTCTTCAGGCAGAGACAGAGATCCTGGCACTCCTGACTTACCAGCTGCAGCATGCAGGCTGCTGCCAGCAGGGCGACCACGCGGCTGGGGTTGATCAGCACATCGTCTCTGTACAGGGAGCCAAAGGCCACCTGCAGGGCTGCACAGGGAACAGGAGCCAAACAGACAGAGCAGTGAGCACAGGGCATCAAAAGAGTCCTGAACTATAACCAAACCTCTTCCCTGCACACCTTCCCTGTGATCTCAGCTGCTCTGGACAAACAGCCAGTGCTGACCAGCCCAGAGCCCCCAACAGAACACACGAGCTGTGGCAGTGCCCAGCCCAGCACTGAGCTTCCACCAGTTAAACAAACCCTGCAGCACACCCTGAGAGTGTAAAACAGAGAAATACAAGTGCCACCTCTGAGGACCACGAGGTTTAACTTAACCCCTGCCCTCAGGGCTTTGTTAAAATAAGAGGTTCCCACTTACCTTCTACATCAATATTTTGGTCAGGAATCTCCAACTCTATGACGTTCATGCTGGATTCTTTCCAAGAGCCACTGAACATACTGGAAAAGTAGCCTGACTGTAGGAGGGAAGAGGAGAGAAAAAGAACTCAACTAAGAGATTTCATCCCAAACAGAAGTGCCAAAAGCAGCACATGGAACAAAATATGGTTAATATTTACCTTTATGCAGAACAAACTGTGTTAAGGGAACTTTCACAAGCTTAAACATTCTGACAGATTCATAAAGGGGCCAACTGTATTTGCTGTTTCTGACACTGAAAACGCCTACAGGAAATTTGGGCTACATGTGTGTGACCGAAGAAAAGAGCTTTAAAAGGCCAGAAAAGCCACAGAAGCTCTTTTCCAACAAACCACACCACCAGTGGGGGCAGAATTAGTCCAAGAACTAAGTCCTTGGTGTTACCAGCAGACAACAAATCCTGCAGGCATTAGGGAATGCCAGTTTGGGGACTGGGGGAAAAATAAAAGAAAGGCATGCAAGACATACAAATTACTGTACAAGGCTGTAGTCTCATACCAAGGACACAGACACATACACCATTTACAGCAATATACCTTTTATTATTAAGTGTAAGGCACATAAAACTAGAATTTGAGAGGTTTCCATCCAAATGAAGGGAAAGATAATGCTCTACTAGGGTTCCTGATTTTCCTTCCCAGCAGCAGATGTGCCCATTATGAGATGCTATCAATGAAGTTTACCTGAGAGATCAAAAAAATAAAGTCTATTTGTACCACATTCCCTGACCTCTTCACTCAGCATTTCAGCCCAAGGCAGCAAATAACACAAGCCCCAGTTTTGATTTATTTTGATCAGGTCAGTATTTCTGTACCCTCAGTGTACCCCTAACCATGGCACACAACACACTCCTCTCAAACCCAGGACCTCACTAACCACACCCTCCTCACGAGGCTGCCTCAGCTTTGCCATGGAGATCACTCCCCATCTGCATAAGAATTTAGTAACAGCATCAGAGAACAGAAATCCCCCATTTCTCAGAGCTGCTGTGAACAGTCAGAGCAGCACCTGACTGTCCTTTATCCAGCTCAAGGCAGTGACTGAGGGACCAGAGGAGCTGAAACAGGCTCAGAAAGGCTGCTCAGCACTTCAGAGTCACAATGGCATTAAAAGACTCGTTTACATGCAGTTATTTCTAACCTCCAAAACTATTTTACCCACAGTAACATAATTCCAACGCTGGAGCGTGACCTGAAACAGGACCTGCCTGATGAGAACACTGAACTCCCCTCAGGCTCCTCTCCCAAAAAACATCACTCCTACAGCGAGGCCTCTGCAGAGCAAAGTCACAGTTTTCAAACCCTGCCATACAGCTGCATCCACAGGAGGATTTAACACCCAACTTCAGTCACCAACCCAGGCAAAGGTTTCAGGAGCAAACTCGACAGGCAGCACCCACAGTCACAGGGACAGAACACACCAGCAGCCTGAGCCACACCAGTGCTGTGCCCATCCACGGGGCAGAGGGAGCTGTGCCTGCCAGCTCTGCTGCTGCCACAGCCTGTGACACAGGAGCTGTGACACAGAGGACACAGCAAAGCCAACAGCACCTCTGTGCTCCTGAAGCACAAGCACAGGGCACTGCACCTGAACCAGGCCCAAAGGAAAGGTTTGTACACAGAGGGTGTTGGGCAGGTTCTCACTGAGATTTACTCCTTCCCAGAGCTCCTGTGCAAACCTTCCTCAGGCAGCTGCAAGAAATCCTTCCTGAGGGCTCCTACCAACCCATGCCAAGCACAGAGAGCCAGCACCACCAATGTCCCTGCAGTCCCTGCCCCCGAGCCCAGGGGACAGGAACACTGAACTGGGGCACCACAGGCTCTACAAATCCCACCTGGAAGTGCCTCCTGTGCCCTGACAGAATGTTCACACCACAAGAGCCACTTAGCCACCCGTTCAGCAAACAGGAACATGTTCTCAGGACATCAAAGACAAATTTCAGGACTGTTTTCACAGAGGATGCACCGAGACTAAGAATGAAATAAATTAAACAGAATAAAAAAAAATTACACAAAGAATAAAAAAAATTCCAAACACAAAAATGCAGCTCTGCTTCCCAACACTGCTAACAGGAGCTGGTTAACTGTTTGCATCTACAAAAAGAGTGAAGGTCCCAAATAAAAGGGGGAAAAAAAAAAGGATAAACCTCCAGTCACACTTCACAGTTCCCAGACATTATTTTACTAAAAGCACAGTTCCTACTGGGATTTAGAAAGGAGTCACTTACCTGACACAAATAAATCTTGTGCAAGTTCCACTCCTCTCCCAGAGCACAGATTTTGACATCACTGTTCTCCCCATTCAAAAACAGAGTCTGATAAATGTATTTCGATGTGCTTTTCAATTTTTTCCTAGTAAAAAAAAAACCAAACCAAACAAACAGTGAGACACTGCTTCCAGTTGTCCCATTACAGCAGCTGCAGTGGGTCTCAAGCCCAGGATTTTCCATGCCACGTCCCCCCCAGGCTGGCACCACTTCCCCACTCCCTGCCTGTGCCACTATTTGCCCAAAATTTGCTGAAATAGTGTGAAATTCAACCAAATCGGCCCCAAAAGGAGATAAAATTGGCCCTAAATCCCCCTGGAAACCCAGAATTTCCCAGAATTCCAAGGTATTCTCAAAATATTCTCCAAATTTCATCGAATTAGGAAAAGTGATGAAATTTAGAAGCAGAAATGAGGAGATTTTGGTGAAAATGGGAACACTTGGGGAAAAATCTGAGAAAATGGGGCAATTTGAGGAAAAATCAGGGGAATTTAGGGGAAAATGGAAAAATTTGAGCAAAAATGGGGAAAATTGGGCCAAAGATGGGGAAGTTTGGGGCACATTTGGGAAAATGGGGAAGCTTGGGGGAAATTCATAAAATTGGGTACATTTGGGGGAAATTACAGGAATTCTGGATAAAAATGTGGAAGTTTTGGTAAACTTTGGGGGAAAATTTGGAGAATTTGGGGGAATTGGTGAAATTTCAGGGAAATGTTGGGAAATTTGGGAAAAATTAGAGTAAATATAAAGAAATCTGAGAAAATTTGGAAAATCGATGAAATTTGGGGAAATTCAAGGCAAAAATGGGGGAACATTTTTGGGAAATTTGAAGGGAAATAGAGAAATAAGAGTCAAAATGAGGAAACCAGGAAAACCTGGGAAAACTGCTGGTGCTGGGGCATCCCCCGAGCACCCCAGAGCCTCCCCTGACCCCAAAGAGTGGCCTGACCCCCAAAACTCCCACTGCCAGCCTTGGGATAATTATTCACAACTTAATTTACCACGAAAGAGCTGCCTGTCTTGATGCACAGTGTTTAAATTATACTGACTCAATCACAGAACCCGTGCATGTAAATACCTTTTTGTTTTTTTAATGAAAATCACGTGGATGTATCGGAAAAGAAAATATCATTAACCAGCAGAATACTGGAATACCAATTAATAAGAAAACCGTGTAACTCGTAGTCAATGAGCTCTAATTCCTTTTTTTACTAGAACGTATAAACAGTAAAATGTTCCACAGCTGTTGTGCTTTGTGGGACTCCAGCGAGCACCCGGGGCAGCACAACCCTGAGACAAACCATTCACGGAGCGTGTCATCCCCGACCCTCAGCGGGGCCCGGAGCCCCAGCCCCGGCGGTGCCGGGCACTGCGGGCACTCGGCTTATCCGAAACCCTCTGACAGCGCCGAAACGGCAAAGCAAACAAACAAAGACTCCAAAACCTCAAAAAAGGTTAAATTCAAAACCTAAACCAGAAGACCTCAATAACCCTTCCCGAGGGGGCCCCCCGAGCTGCCCCCCGCCCCCTCTGCCCCGTCCCGCTCGGGGTCACCGCGGCCCCCAGACCTGCGGCCCCGGGGGTGCAGCAGCCGCTCGTCCCGCTCGGTGTCGCCGTCGCTGTCGCTGTCCCCGGGCCCCTCGGCGGCCCCGCCGCGCTTCCTCTTGCCGTTCCTGCCGGCCCTGCCCGCGGCCGCCGCCGCCTCGCCCCGCGGGACGGGCCCCCTCCGCCGC